TAATTGCGCCCAACAATTGTACTGAAAGCAAGTACTGCATACTTGAGACGGATTTTCATATAGTTCACATATAGACTTTTATTATCAGATCTAAGAATATATTTAACAAGTTCAAGTTAACATACAATTTTAGGGGCATTTAAAAAATTGATGCTTGCAATCATTTATATTCGTATTTAATTACGCTTTAAACAGATGTTTATTAATTGGACAAGCCAAAATATTCCGTATTGTTATTGGAGTAGTTCTATATTCTAGTAGAACTTCGAAGATGATTTTTTTAAACTTGCTTGCATGAATATTTAAAAAATACTATGTTAGACGTTAATAGTACACTTAAAGAGTTCTTTGTTCACTTATGTAATCGATTGATTGCATAAAAAAGAATAGTTATTGTACTGAGTTTTGTAAGAGGCATGTATGTTTAGTACACTGCGTACTTATTTACCGTTTTGTATCTAGAAAGCATATTCATAGTTAATAAAAGTTTACTGTTTTACTTGATGCTGAAATGTTATGCAATTTCGAAAAGTTTTTCATTTCATTTATTTGTTAACATGGTGAATGATACCTTTAAATAAATATCCATTTATTGATACTGATACATATGTACAATATATATAGTTAAAGTATAAAATATGATATACATTTTGATTTACCTATCGGACTAGTTTAAGTAATTAATTCTAAAAGTTGTACTTTCAGATCGAATTTAATAAGACTTTGGAACTAACATTACTATTTTTTACTTATTATGAATTATCTTTTGAATTATTTATCTTGAGTTATCGATAAACTATACATCATTTTAAAAACGATAAAGTTTATGACAGACTATTATTAACAATTATTTTCACAATATGGTATATAGCAGAGCTATAGTAATAAAATTTCTGCAATTTTGGTCAATTTTATAATTGACTTTTATCGTATTTATTACTTGCATCTTAATAAGTCATCGAAATGATTTTTACAAGACGAAACGATAAGCCGGTCTCATTGAAAAGTTAGACGTCTATTTAACAACTCGTTAAGATGCAAGTGGTAAAAAAAAGGCAATAGACATCATCTTTGAAGAACAAAGACTACAGATATTTAGTAGATTCATTATATAATAAAAAATTATACTAAAATTATACTACATATTTATATACAGCATATTTCCGAACAATATACACACTTACTTCCTTTTTAGGATGGATATCTTACAGGTAACTAAAAGAATGCGTGACAGGTACAATATTTTTCATATTTAGTTTTATAATTCTATATATTTGTCTCTTATTCTATTCAGGTAAATACAAACGTCCAAAACATAAAAAAAATATTGTATAACCGTCATCTAATGTTTAACATAGTGTGTTATTGGAAAATATATTTTTACCTCGATTAGCATCAAGTTGCAAAATAGATTTACAATCGTTCATTTAATAGTGATAATATAAACCACATTTCAATATCACAGGTCGAAATTTTGTTTAAAAATAATTTTGTCCATTTCTTTAATTCAGCATTGTTTGCAGAAATCCAAGAATATAGCTACCTAAATCTTCATCCTGATTAGTCCATGAAACGTAAACACTCTTTTGATCATCTTCATCTCCTTCCACCTTTACTAAAACAGACTCGACTGATATAGAACCGTCTGTTAATTGGACCGTCCATCCGGATAATCTTTCTTTCAATGGCTGCAATAGTTTTAAGGTAGTAGCTTGTGCTGGGCCGGGATCCCTTACTTGCACAGTAGATGTAAATCTGACTACATGTTTTGTGATACCTGCAGCTTTTGCAACCTAATCAAATACAAAAGCAATAATCAATGTATATAAAATAATAAGTGTTAAAAATAAAAAAAATAACAATCATGAAATAAATAGTTATTATGTGGAAGATATTACCTCATCTGCATCTACAAGACAGACACCGTCTTCTCTCAACATTAGGACACTGTGAAGCAATCTCCGTCTTTTCGGATCAGGCGGTAAGGCCGAGTATCTCTTTGCTTCGGCTTTCAGCAATGCTAGAGAAGCATCTACGGGAACTTTGGATGTAGTCGTAATAATACAAGTTTCGCCGTTTGCAGGATTATAGCAACTAACGCCGAATTCTTGTTTGATTTTCTCCTTCAAATATTCCATCTTAGCGAATTCTCCATGCACTAGCATAACATTCTTCGGTTCACAATACTGTATCAACTGCATTATTCCTTTTGCATCAGCGTGAGCAGAAAAAGACATGTACTCCACGGCCATCTTTACCTCCACGATCTGTCGATTCTCGAACTCTATTCTCCGCGTACCGTTTAAAACTTTGTGTCCCACGGTACCTTGCACGCAAAAACCTGGCATGATAACCATGTTGGACTCGTTAGGCGCCCATTTCTTAAAGATCTGGAGAGAGAGACCGGCGTGTAACATTCCTGGCGTAGCAAACACCACCATCGCACCTGGATTATCGATATACGCTTTATCAAACGGTTTTATGTGCTTAAAGTCAAACATATTCCGTTGTACAAACGTTTTTTTAATTTTCTGATTAGTCCAGGTGATAAACATTTTATAATAATTGTTGGCCTTTTCGGTTAAACCAAGCGCGAAATAAACTGGTACTTTTAGGTTCATTCTTTCCCAATACGTTTCCAAAAGTATACACAGTTCTTGGGCGCGACCGAGAGCGAATACAGGAATCAGCACCTTTCCGCCTCTGTCGATGCATTCGTGTACCTGAAACACGGTCTTATCTTCTCAAAAAAATTGTTCAACATAAATTAAATTATTACAAATAATGAATCGAAAACATACTTTCTTGAGGAAATCTCTTTCCCTGCACCTCTTTGAATCTCTAATCGTGGTTGCATATGTTGATTCTGAAATTAACAAGTCTGGCCTGCATTTGTCTATCCACGCAGCACCTAAATGCCGATCTGGCGTCATATTATAGTCTCCTGTGTATACAATAGACTGTGATCCCACACGAACCCAAAACATGGCTGCACCGAGAACGTGTCCGGCATAATATGCTTTTATCTCTAATTCTGAATCTACCATAACGGATTGATGAAGCGTAACAGCGATAACCTTCTTCATACAATCCTTTATCATTTGCGATGTGAAAAAGTTACTTTCGCCTTTACGCTCGACTGCAACCTTTCTCATGTCTTCTAGTAAGATTGGTGCAATAGCTTTGGTTGGATGTGTCATATAAATTGGTCCAGTATAACCTACCTGTATATTTTAAATAAAAAGAAAAGTGTGCAAGAAAATTGAAAAAAATACAACAAAAATAAAAAATAATTATTGCAAAATAATTTTTGATGTTACGTTACCATCTCTGTGAAATATGGAAGAGCGCCGCAATGATCTAAGTGAAAATGAGAGATAATGACACAGTCGATATAATTAGTCGCAGGTCCTTCTGGAACTATATAGGAAAAGTCTGGGAAGCGTCTCTCATCATTGAATCCCATGTGCATTCCACAATCCAGCATGATGTTTTTGCCGCCCATGGAGACAAGGATACAACTACGTCCGACATCCTGTCCAGCACCGAGTGGTGTAACTTTTATATCCGGCATTTCTAAAAAGAGTAATGAAACAGTATTATTTTAGTATTATTTAAAACTGTAATGAAATAATTATATTACTTCCAAGGCAGCAAGCTAATGTTATTTGTTGTTATTTTGATGTTCAAAAATGACATCTTTAATGTCATTTTTACATAAAAATTACAACGCTTACTACCGGAGTTTATATATACATACACTAAGCTATTTGTCAAGCATAAAATAGAAAATGGATGCTTATGAAACGAACATGTGTACGTGTTTCAATATTTTTTTACTGTAAATTAACAAATATATCTTTTATTTTTAAAAGAGCATCCTCTCTTAAAAGAGACTAACAGTATCAGTTCAAACATGTTGATATCGTTATACTGCTTACTTAAAGAGATATCAGTTGGTTGACTAATCTAGATCACAACTAATTGCTTTCTGAATTATAATCTTGTTGTAATATAAATAAAGGTTATTAGAGGATTAGAGGTTAGACTTAGCGAAAGAGCGTTACCAAGCATTACTAATGTACCAGTTCGTAAGCGCACAATGAATAAAACAATTATTATATGCACACAGATCACAATTGAGAATTAATAAGCAGATTAATGTAAACATGTATCAAAAGTTGATTACATTTTCTTCAAAAATTATCAAGATCTTTCTCTTTCTTACACTTCTTAGCGCATACCTATTACATTGAATTGAAAATACAAAAACGAAATTTGTTTGCACTTTGCGAGGCAATCTGACAACTTGATAAAAAAAAATTTTTTTCCTGGTTAAAAATCCTAACCTAAAAGGTTATCAGCACATGCGTTCCAAAACTCGTATAGGCTGCATTTGAAAACATTACTCAGATATCTCCTTATCCTTGTTTAACAATGGATGAACAACAAGGATAAAACAATACGCGGGGATGCTCGGATGATATTTTTGAATGCAGTCATATTCTGTTATTGAACGCAACCGCGCGCAGTATGAACTCTCACTACATGCCGTTGTCTTCTTTTAATTATTTCGATCTAATCATTTTTTTGTTATAAATATTCACGTAAACAAATATTTCACAAGCGATACTCTATATAGAATGATAGCATAATTCAAAGTTTAATCCCTTTAAATACATAATGCACTTATACATAATATAAATTTGTATATAAATATATAATATTTTGTATATGTTTCATCATATTATTCCAGGAAATATACAAAAAAAAACAATTCAAATTTGTGATCGTATAGTATTATGATTAATTACCTAATTATAAATACTCTATTTGTTTAACACAGATAATAGTACTGTGTGTCCTTGAAGGATCGAAAAGCTATATAATTTCCAAATGCTTCAATTTGTTTAAGCAATATGTTCAACATTATATTAGATAAGTAATATTCGTGTGGTTAGTATGATTACAAGGCCAATAAAATCATAAAAGTACATAAAGAAGATGAGAACATTGTATAATAGATACGCATTATATGTTATGTACATCTATTATTTGATAATTATACATTGATATTATTCAGCAATTATTGTTTCAAACGTCGCACTATATTATTTATGATTTCTATATTATTTATGATTTCTATATTATTTATGATGGTTAAAAAAACACATGTCATTGACTGGCGATCAGACGATAATGTTATAAAAGAACACAAAATTTTAATTTGTGTGAGCTATATTTAATTTAAAAATTATTGTATATAAAGCACTATTTTGAGTTTTCAAATTGCTAGAAAAAAAGATAATAGAGAAGAGATAAAATAAAGTGAAATAATTATGGCGTTTTACAGTTCTTCATCAAGATTGAAGTCCTCCTCTGGAAAATCTCCAACTTTTACGTGCGCTGGCTTCACAAAGCCTCCATATTTTGGAGCACATTCGAAATATTTTTTTCCACCGACACTATGATCAACAACACAATAAGTAAGAAGAGAAGAAAAATATTCAGATATTGTAATTAAATGGGATTAAATTTACCTCCCATCGTTTTTGCCAAGAGGCTCATCATATTTAACACCAATCCACCAGCCTTCCTTAAATTCAGTTTTACCTATAACATTTATATATTAATAAAAATACTTTTAGTAAAAATACGATTGCGAATATATTAAGATTCTGACCAACATATAAGATAGTAGCTCTTCGCTTTGGCTGATTTGGAACAGATACTTCGCAACGGTCTCCAACTTTGCACAAATTAGCTAAGCTTTCCTCTGCTTCTTCTTCCAATTTCTTCTCTTCTGCTCTTCTTTTCATATCTTCTTCATTGTACTTTCCTAATTTATTCCTTTCTAGGAACGCCTTAACAGTATCTATTCAAGTATAAATAAAATATGTTTCATTCATCACTTAATTTGATATAAGATAAATATAAAAGTCTCACCTGTTTTTTTGGCATACTCTTCCTCAGATATCTCAAACTTTTTCACATGATTTAAATCTTCTGTGGTACATGAGAAATTATCAATAACCTGCAATTTCCTTACATTTCATTTGCAATCTCATAATTTTGTGCTTATAAATACTTGAAGTAGACTCAGTAAGACAAATAAAACTTTCATTATGATTTCTGTATCATGTTGTAATATCTGTATATTTACATGTATCCTCATTCCATCATCTATTGGATATGATCCCAAAAGCCGTTGTTCTTCCTCCAATCTACAAATGAGCTTGTCGTTCTTGTCATAAACTTCAATGGTCATTGTAACTGGGTTACCACCAGTAAGAAGCTCCAATTTGCCCTATAATTTTGTCTTGTAAATTTCTATGTAAAAGAAAATTTTGGAAAGGAAGCAAAGCTTTGCTTACCTTAAATTCATGGACAGTTATACTTTTTTGAAATCGACGTTCCACACAACATGATTCCTGACCAGAATTTGTAATTGATAAATTCACAAAATCAGATGTAATCACGCTGCACGAACTCATTTTATTTAATTTAACATACGATATTCGGCTACTACAGAATATAAGATTAAATGATTTTAAATATTCGCGAATCTCTTATTACGTTTCGGATATTTCCGAATTATAATAAATTTAATATATGCAACCTTATTTTATATATAATTATATAAAATAAATAAACGCCTAGTGTTTTGTACTCGTGTTAATTGCAAAACATGTAAATACAAGTAACACTTTGACAGAACTTTCGAAGCTCCAGCGAAATGTCATGACGTTATTGAAAACAGAGAAAAACTCAGAAATCTGAGAGCGACTGGAGCGACCATTCCGGCCTTTGTGATGTGACTACATATATTATCGACATTGCTGATAAAGTAGTGTCGAAATATAATGTGGTGCGAGTCCATGCTAAATCAAATATTTATATATTTATATGTGAAGCAATATGCTACGTCCACAAATTGTAGGTGAAAAGATAATATGCATATATAATTTTATATATAACATATATACTTACGTAATTTTTCTTTTGCTACAGCCTACATAATCTCTACTTTAGATCTGTTTCTTTCATTTTTTATTCTTTTTTTTCTTTTTTTTAATGATGTTGACTTTTGAATACAAAGCATGTCAAATTGAATATAAAGTAAAAAATGAACACACGTTACAAAAAATAATTTTTAAATAACAAAATGCATTTTAAAATGCATATTATATAACATTGATTCTTATATGTATGAATTTCTTCATAATTTTTCTTTTATATCGTTATGTATGTTTTATAAAAGTCTAGAAAAATTAAAGAAAATTATAAAACAGCAGAAATAATTGAGTTATATTTCAAATTATGTATTTCAATATTGTGATTTGTTTTAGAACTCAATCAAATAACAATACAATGAATATTTATTATCAATTATTTTATATACACATTTTTTTCTTTAAGAATGTATACATGTACCTGTATATGATGTCATTGAAATGAAAAAAACAGGCAATTGTGTCTTAAAGACAGAAAAAAAGAGGATAAAAAAAAGAAGAGAATAGAAAAATATTTATTTATAAAATATTTCACGATTAAAAATTAGATTAAATAAATATCTTATATTTGACATAATACTATAATAATTAGATGTATGGATAATAATTTGAGGGATAAAAATAATATAATGTCTTTGTCAAATATTCATTGAAGTTATTTATTTGAAAGTTGTATTTAAGCTGATTAAATCGATACGCTTTTGTTGTATTAATGTGCATTATGAACAAAATATCAGCAGTAATTACTTCAATTTTAGTTTTATACATAAATTAATTCCAAATAAAAAATATACAAGTCAAACTGAAAATAATATAGCTGTACAGTTGTGGACAAAAGAATTGTCTTTCTTTTTTTAATTCGTTTTTTACAGAACTCGTAAGAACATCTTTATAACTTTTATGCAATCTAAAACTCATCGAAGAACAAAAATATTGCAATTCTTTTATTCACAATTTGTTAAAAACGATGAAACTGTATATTACCATCCTTGTACAGCAGAAAAACATTTTCATATCTATGTATAGCACATGTATATCTATATTAATTTGTTTACACTTTATCCAAAGCAATTATAATTATTATACAAGATAAACGCACATGTCTCTTTCTTCTCTCACATTAAGTCTTAAAACAGAAATATGCTTTTAAGAAATTGAGAGATTTTTCATTATTTTTAATGATAAAGCACACAATTGATTGCAGAAAGGACATTAGGAAAGTTTCTCCCTTTTTCAATTCTTTTTTTTTCCAAGAATAATAGGCGATATTTGTGTTATTTTCCAAACAAATTTTCTTCAATGAAGAATCTCCGACAGTGGTTTGGATTTATCACATCTCTTTTTAGAACAGTGATAGACAGAGTGAAAGTTATGCTGCTGATTGCCAACGTCCTGCGAGGACAGGGTACAAAGAAGAATTCTCCAATGCATTAAACTGCTTGAGTTTTATTACAATATAGCTTTACCATTAGTTTGAAGCTTCTCGCTAACATTGGCCATTTTTTAATTTATCAAAGCAGTAATTGATGCTCCTTCTTACAAAAGTTTACCCTTCAATATCTCATAAACCATTTTGTTCCTAAAATACGGCATATCATCCTGTGTAAACGTTACCTTCTTATTTGCACAGGCATATTCGGCAAACATACAAGAGAATACGCCACAATCGCTGCCATTCATCTGTTGTGGAATGTTCTTGGCTGATTGCAATTTCCAATCGCTCATATCATAAGATTGTTTCTTTTTGTCTAAACTCTCATCCTGTAAATATTGTTTTAGTGTGGCTAAACATTTTGGGTTACTACCGCCCATACTGTCGTAATAAACAATCGATTTATTCCTGAAATCTATTATTGACATACACCAGTGAATATCCAGATGTATTGGCACGACTACAAGATCCTGCGCGAATATGTCTACTTTTCTAGTCCATCGCTTCAGAGACGAGTGACCACCCGATAGAAGTTTTGGATAAAAAAATGTATTCATTGCGTGCACCTTTGGATACTTGTCGGACGTGCCTCTGGCAATTAATAGATTCATGTAGAAGTTTATTACTTCATCGTTTAGCCAATTTAAGTCGGCTAATGTGCAAAGATCTTTTCGCGTGAGCCTTAGACCAAAACCTTCTGCAAGAACTTCTCCTGGAGGACATGGTATAATGGCGTTTCTCACTTCTTTCAACATCTCATTAGTCAACGTCGGCAATGCTGGCTCTTCCTGTTCCTCTCTATCATCTAGGACAGCCAGATATAATTTCATAGAACGTGCCAATTGTTCTTCCAAAGCTGCTTCTCGTGCATATCTATTGTGCTTCGATAAGACGCATGTCATCTTCTTCAGTTCTTCAGCCTCTCTGTGCCGTTGTTCAATCCGTTCGTTGTATCTCTTAGTAACTTGCGGGATGAAGTCTTGTCTCATGATAGGTTTCGCAGCTAGCTCGTCACGCAATGAGTTAGTTGCAACAACTTCAACAGATAACTTCGGCGTAGTTTTCACTAATCCACTGGTACTGGGTCTATCAATTGTAATAACTTTGTTGGATTGTTGATACGCCGTGATACCTTTCTTGCTGTAATTTAAAGTAGGAACTTTTTCTTTATCTGTCCTAGAATAGTTTGACATGCAAACTCTATTATGATATGACGTTGATATCTTAGACAAGTTAGTGACAGATGATTGAATCTTGTTGGATGTCATAATTTCTGGTTGCTTTTCTAAATCGATAACTTCTATGGGTTTGCACACAGGTTTATCTGTAAATATCTGTATCCTATTTGGAAACAGATTTTGGAGCATTTCTTCATATTGATATTTCTCTTTTAATTGATTAGTTTTAGATAATGTGGGAGACTTGTGGTAGATATCTGGCATTCTATGTTTGTGATGGAAAAAGTGCTCCGTAGTCGGTTTATTGTGATGTAGCATAAAGCAAGTAGATTTACAAGTGGGAGTTTTGTAATATTCGAAAGATTGTGGTTGCTTTTTATGAGTACCGTTCATTTGTGCACACGGTTTTATCGATGAGCATTTCTGCTCACCCATGTATATAATATCATCGTCATCACTGTCATCAATGGTAAAATACTGTTCCATTGTACGAGCTATATTACAATTGGATTTAAATCTCTTGGATGTTATATATTCTTCTTCAAAGTTACAGTCCTCAGCTTTCCGTTTTTTAGAACCTTCATCTACCCATCCGAAGATCTTCTTCAGAAAATCAAATATTATAGACATGATTAACACATGTATATATTCTGATCTTATTATTGTCCATTCAACATATATTATTAATGTAGCTCAATCTAAAAAAAAAAAAATTCTTATATATAATGTATTCATTGATTATTATGTATTCATTGATATAAAGCAAATATTACAAAAGTAGAAACTTATACTATAACTAATATAACTATGTACCATAAAAAATCATTACCAATTGAAATAATTTGCTTGCACTATTCTGTACTGATACACAATAAAAATAACTATAATTATAAAAATAACTATCTAATTTATAATTGAAATAAAATATGAAAAACACACAATTTTACATTGGAGAAAAAAAAAGAAAGGATAGAAAATATTATAGAAAAAATACTATAGAAATATACTACAGAAAAAAAATTCAGCTACACAACCTTAAACATAAACTTAATTATAAAAACATAGCAAAAACATATTTTGATAAAGGCATCTGACGTAAATGTCATTATATTTTAATGAAATATACATTGCGTCATTTCATCAATCAAGGGATTTTTGCTATACATTCTTAAATTTAGGTGTTTCTTCATGTTTAAAAGTCTAGAAAGCATCAGTGCGGAATAGCGCAGCAGTCGAATTCATTATAAATTTTCAATTATTGTATAAACGTATACACATCGGCGTGACGTAAAATTAACCTCATTGCGCGATATGCGATACTCGTTCCGGTTGATGCTTACTCTCGAGAATTGCGTTGAATTCGCCGTATGTACCACAGCAGGCGCTTAACCTTAAACCCAGACGAAATTTTTTTATCTTGCCTCTCAAAACGTAAGATTTGTCATCCACGAACCGTTTAATTTGGCAATATCACGAACATAACCCAACGATGGCGTATTTTCTTATTCTCTATATATCGCACTCGACATCATACTTGACCATATTTTGCAAGGTTGCAACAT